GCCTCTTGGGGGGGGCACGGATTAAGATGACTCCAAGAGCGTCTGGGAGAGCCCAAAATGACCTCCAAGATGGCTCAAGATATCCCAAGATGTCTCATAATGGCTTCCTCTGTGTGCTGCCCACTTCTCTGATCGAGGCAATTCCTCTGGGCATCGTTTCTGGATGGGCTGGTGGGGATTCGCGAAGCGACAACAATTTGTTTCCGTGGCCGGCACCTGTCGCCGAGCTCTCAGGTGATGTCCAAGGCGTAGTTGTTCGTCCATGACACTTGCCACAAATCTAAAGGCTCTCTGGGCGCGCAGAACGGCGACTGCCCAGCGCGCTTCTTCCAGCGCGATGGGTTCATCATTTATGCGTGGATGCGCCGCGTGGTTCTCAGAATGAGGGATGTTCGAGGCCTTCGCATCATCTCCATTGTTCTTCGTGTAAAAAATGTCGCTGTCTCTGCCTTCGCCTCTGCGCCCGCCAAAGCACAGCGTTCGCCTCGCAATCGGCCGCGACGCCCTTCCTAGCGGAGAGAACGAACAGCTCGCCAACCTCCGCGTTCGATCGCTTCGTCCAAGCCGTGCTTCTGAACGGCGCGAACTCCTTGTATATATTCGCGCCCTCCCGATCAATGTGGCAGCGTTTATTTGCTCGTTCCCTGTGTATATATATACGTATATATATGTGTGTATATATACATATATATATATATGTATATGTATATGTATATATCTACACATAAGTCCGCCAGGGTGCCCGCGGCCTGCGCGGCGGAGAAGGGCGGCGCGTGGTCGGGGGCAGAATCCATCGTGCATTGGGCGATCGTTGCTGCTTTGGTTTACAATGAATGGCACGGTCGATTTTTCCTCCAATTGTTTATGAAGCCGTCGACACACCGGTTGGCACTTGGCTGGCGTTGCAAAGATTTCCAATCGTAGCGCGGCGGTCGCTGGACACGCTCAACGATTGGCCTCTCGACGCTCAGATCCACGAAGCGCGCGAAACTATGAGGGCGCATGGTCGGGCCGCCCAGGCCGCGGCAACGATGAGATCCGGGGCGTGGAAAAACTGCCCCAGACGTAGGACATCCGCTCTGTGAATTTAGTAAACCGACGTTTGCGTTTACTTGCCGATGTTTTGCTTGTTTGGATCAAGCGGCGCAATATGACGAATCCACATCTCGCGCTAGCACAGCGTCGCCGTGCCAGTATCTGTTTTAAGAATGCGTGTTCAATCGACGCCGCGGCCCGCGTTGGCCGGCGATGGCAGGGCCCGCGCCTGGTCGCTCCAAATGTGCTGGGCATGGGAAAGCCACTTGTTGTCTTCGACGACGTGGTCAACTTGCTCGGATTTCCCCGGCGCGATTGGGCCCGCGGGGCATGCGCCGGCGTCGCGGAAGGCAAGGCTGCGTTCCGGCGGGGCATCCCAGAAAGCGCTCGCGTTGCATGCGTCGGCTGGCGCACGAAGTTCGAGAGTGAGTACTCCGTCTAGGAATGGGCTCCATTTGCTCCTCCCGCTGCGAAACGCACCACCTCCCATAGCCGCGTCCTCGCCAGCGAACTTCTCCAGGAGTCTCGCGGCAAATCCCCGAGAAACATCGTCGGCCCGCGGGGCCAGCAATACTTCTAGATCGGATCTACATCGGAAAAGAAATGGCTCCGCATGGCGAGTTTGCAATTCCTTACCCAGGCGCGCAGGACAATCGACGCGGGCGCCCCGCCTGCTACTCGCGCGGGTAGTCTGGCAGCTCGATTGCTATATTGAATGTATCCTTCAATGGGCTGTCTTGCCCATGGCGCAATGGTGCAACCAGCTCCAGCGCGCCCCCCTGGCACCGAAATTGAAAACAGAAGCTGGCCTTTGGATTCGAACGTCGCGGCGCCGCGACAATGCGTTTCTTGCTGACAGAGAACTGCGACGCCCAAATCACGCATATGCTAGAAGAGCTCGAACAGTTTGCGCGGGCAGCCATGGGCAACGCCTCCGGCAGCCTACGCTGCAATTATGCAGCGCCCCGTGGGCCAGGATGGGAATGTTGCCCGCTCGTTCACCCGAGCTCCCCCAGCGGCGCCGATGCGCCGCCGTGACCCCTAATGGGTATTCAGCCCCCACCATTCTTCCCTTTCCCGCTGCCTGTTGATGCCCAGCCGAGCGCGTCGTTGGCGCGCGCGGTGAGATACTCCACCTCAGAGCTCTTGGCGAGGTCATCCCAGTTGCCCCGGCCCCCCCCCAGGATATCTGCAGCATGCCGTTGGCAATCCTCACTCTTACCATTGGGTCCTTGGCCGCCTTCAGCTCGGAATGATCCGCGTTAGCCCGCACTTCGCTTTTCGCGTGCTCCCTTCCAAGACCTGCTTGCGAAGACCGAGCAGGACGCTTTCTCGCGCGCGTTTGTCGTTCGGCTGATCAGGACGCGTCCACGCAATGTTGCTGGCGACCTTTATTTCTTTACTGATCAAAGACGCTGACAAATTTGTCCCAGGCGGCGACAGTGGCAAACTTAAGAACAACTGTGCTGCTGAACTCGCCTTTTTGAAGATCATGCCAATCTTGTCTGGTATCTGAAGCTGGCCGAAATATTCTTTCAAGAACGTCACGGCCGTGTCGGAATCCGGACAATCGCCCAGGCCTCCAATGACCGCATTGCACTCCCAGCTGCCATTCCCCTTCAGGTTCGCAAATTGATTCTCCAACTTTGAGGTTTTGCTCTGAGCCTCGGCTGTGAGGCTTGGTCCTGCCGCGGGTGCCAGACTGCTTCAAGATATCCCTGCGCTCAACGAGTTTCTGCATGTCGTGCTTGATCAGGTCCACGGCCTCCTTCAGCTCGCCCCTGGAGATGGCGTGCTGCTTTAGAATATTCGATGTCCTTGTCGATGGGTCAGGTACTGCTTAAACATGCCTTCGAATGTGGTCATGCTGATCCCCCTCCTGGCCGGACCAGCTGCTGCTGCTGCTGCTCCTCCTCTCAGCCCGATTGCGGTCATGGTGATCTCCCCCACTGTAGTTCCTGCTCGCTCTTTTCCTTTACCGTTGGCTCCAGTCGTCGCCGAGACCATCCATTTCGCGCAGAGGGCTGTGTATGCGATGCTGTTCGAACAACTGTTTGGCTGGTGTCCGAGGTTGTTGTGTATCGCCATCGTCAGAAGAAGTTATCAGAGGCGTAGGGCGAGGGAAGCAAAACAACTATTACGAGACAGTGGTAACGGGGGTACGGTCACCAAAGCAATTAATTGAGCACTTGAATATCCTTGAGCCCACTTGACCCCTCTCGAGCCAAGAAGGCCCAAATTGCCTCCAAGAGGACCCACAATGGCCAAACGAGGACCCTCAACAGAGTCAGCATAAGCCGAACTCATTGATTTCCCTGATGTGTGTTGACCGATGTGTCCTTCCTCGCCTTTTCGGGCTGCCGTCAGCTCAAGACGGCCCAAGAGGAAGGACTTCACGATGGCCCACATGGCATCCATGACGGCCCCAAGGCGGCCCAAACGGGCCTCTCGTGGGACCCACCACGGCTTTCGAAGGCCCTTCGACGGCCCCCAGACACCCACAATACGGCCAAGAAGGTTCAAGACGGCCCCAAGACGGCCCAAGAGGGCTCCAAGGGAACCCCAAGACTGCTTCACGTGAGGCCAAGACAGCCCCAAAACGGCCCGAACGAGTCTCATCATCATCATCATCATCATCATCATCATCATCATCATCATCATCATCATCACCATCACCATCACCATCACCATCACCATCACCATCACCATCATCAGCAGCAACAACATCATCACCACAATCATCATCCTCCTCCTCCACATCATCAACCTCATCCTCCTCCTCATCAGCAACATCAGCATCAGCATCAGCACCAGCATCATCATCATTATCACTATAAGCATCATCATCATCATCATCATCATCATCATCATCATCATCATCATCTTATCATCATCATCATAAACAGCATCATCTCCATCATCACCACAATCATCATCCTCATCAACAGCAGCATCATCTTAATCATCGCCAGCATAAACCAACAGCATAACCATCATCACTGTCATCATCATCCTCACCACCATGACCATCACCAACATCATCATCATCATCATCATCAACATCACCATCATCATCGCCATCGTCATCTAACCGCCATCATCATCTAATCAGCATCGTCATCATCATTGTCCATCGTCGCGGTCCATCACCATTGTCATTGTCATCAACATCACCATCATCATGACCATACAGCACCGCCATTTATCGTCATCATCATCAGCATCATAACCATAATCACCATAATCACCAGCACTCATCATCAACATCAGCAGCACCATATCATCAGCAACATCGGCAGCACCATCATCATCAACATCGTCATCACCATCATCATCACCACGATCATCATGATCATCAGCAGCAGCACCAGCATCGGCATCAGAACAATCAGCATCATCAGCTCCATTTCCATCATCAGCATACTCGACATCAACATCATCGTCATCGTCAGCATCATCATCGTTGTCGCCATCACCATCATCACCAAAAACATCATCATCCACATTGACATTACAACCGTACGAATCAACGACACCATCATCATCATCAGCATCATCATTATCATCCTCACCATCATCAACATCATCATCACCACCACCATCACCATCACCAACACCATCACCATCACCATCATCATCATCAACATCATCATCATCATCATCATCATCATCATCATCATCATCATCATCATCATCTTCATCCTCATCATCCTCATCATCCTCATCATCATCACCGTCATCACCCCCTATCGTCCTCATTCATCACCGCGTATCCAAGCCTGGAGACACGAGGTGACACATGTGACGGCCTCCCGTGCCCCTCGAACAATCGACACCCAGAATGCTGGGATCGCACGGTTGCGGGAATTGCCACAGGCAGCCAGATGTTTCATGCCGCTGCCCCTCCAGTGCACCATCTTTGCGTGCGCGATGCGGAAGAAGCGCGAACAGAACCTCGCCATCATTCAGCGCTGCTGCGGGACACCTTTATAATGTGATGCTTTTAGAAGAACAAAAAACGACATAAACAGAAACTGTCGGAGGTTCATGCGGATTTCTTTGGATCTGCGCTGGACTCCCCTCCCTGACGCGCGGAGCGCGGGTGGCGGCGCCGGAGGCGCCGCCAGGAGGCTCTAGCGCAATCCAAGAAATCTGCGCGGACCGTCGACAGTTTATGTTTATGTCATTTTTCCTCCTCCGTGCTTTCGAATGCTTTACCCTGGATCAAGTTCGTGAGCGGCAGGAAGCAGCGAGATGCTGGAATTTCTCGGATGTCCTGCCAGGAGACCCAACTCCAGCCTTTGCATTTGTGGGGTTCCAGGTTCCGCGCTTCGGCGTCCTGAGGCACGTCTGCAAGCATGAATACAGTCACGTAGTGCTTCCCTTCTTGCGTCATTATGTCATTCGTCGTGGCCACATGCCGCACTTCGCCGGTAATATCAATCCCCGTCTCCTCAGCAACCTCCCTGATTGCCGTGGCCTCGAACGACTCTCCGTGCTCGAGATGGCCGCCGGGCAAGGCCATCCTGCCAGCACCGTGCGAACCCAAGCGTTCACCAAGCAGAACCTTGCCGTCTGGACGGCGTAGGATGCAACCAACGCCAACCCTCACATGAGGCAGTCTGGTCGGCTGTTTTGTATCTTCCTCCAATGGCCGCTTCGCCGCATGACTTTCCATTGGGCAGTCAATCCGCTGGACAAGGAAAGACACACAAAATGACTTGACACGTCCACGACGACTCGAGCCGAGTTAGCTACAGGTGCTGGTGAAGGAGGAATGAAAGGAGGGGGAGAAGCAGCAACAGGAGAGAATGGGGAGAAAGGGGTAACGATAGGGAGGAGAGATTCACGGGCAGGAGAAGTGCTTTGATCAGGAAGAAGACCAGCAGGAACAGGAGGGGGAAGAGGAGGAACACCAGCAGGTATGAGCAGTTTTCAGCATGAGTAGGAGGACCAGCAGGAACACCAGCAGTGTAACACCAGCAGGAACACCAGCAGGATGGGGAAGAGCAGTTGGAGGGATATGAATAGGAGGGACATGAAGACGAGGAAGAGGACGAATCATACAATATCAGGGGCAGCAACCGAGAAAATAGGAAAGGGGAGAGCAAGGGATATAAGGAGAGAGATAGGAACACGAGGTGCGGGAACGTTAAGGGGGCAGACGCAGACGAGGACGAGGAGGACGTGGACAAGGAGGAAAGAGGAGAGGGAAGTACGACGAGCGGAGGCGCAGAAAGAGGAGCGGGCGGAAGCTAAGGAAGGTGAGGGAGAAACACCCGAGGAGATATGACGAAGACGGGGGGGGGCTACACAGTGGTCCCCCCCACTGGCGCTACCCAGAACGGTATAAAACACGTCCGAAACACGCGTTCTGGAGATGATGGGGGGACGTCAGCTACCGATACCTCCACGCGTCGTGAAATGGGGTGTGAAGATGAGGAAGATGAGGAAGAATAGGACGGGGAGGCGGACATCGACGAGGCGGCAGAGCAGGACGCATGGGAGGGGCGCACGCGTCTGCGCTCCCCTAAGTAGCATCGCGCTCAATGTTATGCCACACGTGCATCTTGCTATTTTTTTCTCCTGCCGCCACCAGGTCAGCAGATTGTCCCCACGAGGCGCCAAGGGCCGAGTCATGGATGCGCTTAAACTTACTGACAAGGCAAGGGCTGGAGAGCGCCACACGAACCGGGCGAGGGGAGGGAGGATGGATGGACGGACGGGTGGACAAATCGGTGGCTCTGGAGAAACACAGAACCGTATAGTTCTACAGGGACATAACATTCGAAGGTCCGCGCGGATTGGGGTCGGCGCTGGACCCCACTCGCCCGGCGTGCGGGGCGCGCTGGGGGCAGCGCCAGAAGCGCCGCCAGGGCGGGCCCATCGCCAGTCCAACAGCTCCGCGCGAACTTCCGAATTTGTTGTTTTGTGCTTTGCAGTGTGTTTGTATAGCGTCGGAGTGTGGTGTGGGTGGGGCACAGGTTTGCTAGGGTGGGCACACCCAAGTCTGCGAGGGCTCTTGCACGATCGCTACCCTGCCTTTCACCCGCCCCGCTCGTGAGCGTGCGCCGCGAAGGCGCAGCTGTTCTGATCCAGAAGATCGGGGGACATCAGCTGCCTACCTCACCAATCCTGGCTTGGCCGATCTCGGTGGACATGATGCCTTGCCTGACTTAGCCGGGAGGGCGTACCAACCGATCTTGGGCCCACCTGACGTCCTCGAGAAGAAGACGAGCATCCGAAGCGCGTCGCCAGCAGAAAAACAGAACAGGTCGAGATCGGAACCACCCTGCGTAATTCCGATCTCGACAGTGTCAGGAGGAGGAGGAGGAGGAGGAGGAGGAGGAGGAGGAGCAGGAGGAAGAAAACGAAACCAAGACTAGAGACAAAATCTAGCTGGGATCCACCGGGGCCCCCTTGCGGGGAACCACCAGTCTGCGAGGCTCAGGGCTTCCTGCTCCCTGCGCCAGCACCAGTTTCCAGTGTCCACTGTTAGACTCTTAGACAGTCAACCATTGGAAGCTGCAAAGTGACCTCCTCCTCCTCCTCCTCTTCCTCCTCCCCCTCCTACTCCCCCTCCTCCTCCTCCTTCTCCTCCTTCTCCTCCTCCTCCTCTGACAAGGACGCAAAGGGATTGGAAGGCCATATCGACACTTTGCGAGCGGTGCGCAGCCAGCGAAAGCGGCCAAGGATGGGCCAAAGGGAAAGGATGCAAAGGTATCCTTGGAAAGTTGCTCATCCTGACTATGCGGGTTGACTGTAGGTTCTAATTCTACGTTCTGCCTCCTGCTGTACATGGTTCCTGTCCTCGTGAGGGAAGGAGGCCGAAAATCAACTTGGTTGCCACATCCGAGTCTCATTGCCTGAATCTCTGGGGGGCCTGGGACACTTCCAAATACATCAAATCCGGTCTCCTGGTGCCAAGATCCGCTGCAAGTTTCACCGAGTTCGCGCTCCCGAGGCCAGATTCGCCGTAAACTGCATGTGATTCGCGATCCAGGGTCCAGAATCCTTTCTGAACTTACGCCAGATTCCGCGATTCCGAGGCCAAAACCTAGAATAAAGAGAAATAAAAAAAAAAAAAAGAAAAAAAAATAAAAAAAGAAATTAAAAAAAAAAACAAAGAACAAAAAAAAAAAAAATAAAAAAAAAAATAAAAAAAAATAAAAAAAAATAAAAGAAGGCCAAAACCTAGAAGAGATTACGCCACGTCTGCGCGCCCGAGGCCGGAACCCAATGCACATTACAGCACATCTGCACTATGCCGGAGTCCGCTGTTATTGTACATCAGATTCGCGCTCCCGAGGCCAAACTCATAGTAAATCAGATGAGATTCGCTCCCGAGGCCAGGGTGCGCTGTAAATTGCGCCAGGCTCGCGCTCTGGAAGCTAGAGTCCAGCAACCTGTACACCAGCTTCGCGCTCCCGAGACCGGAGTCCTTTGCAAATTGCACCAGCTTCGCGCTCCCGAGGCCCGAACCTCCCGTAAATTACAAGCGGCTTGCGCTAAATCATTTGAACATTACGCCAGTTGTGGGCTGGACACGTGCGAACACGTGATTCCAGCTCAGGCCCGCCATGTTAGATACCCTAGCTCGGGACAACCATGTTAGATTCCTCCTCGGTGGCATTTTTTACGAATTGGTCGGGTCTCCAGACCTCGCCATTTCTCATGGATTCCGCGCAAGTCGCGCCGCATCCTCTTTTTCAAGAAAGAAGACGGTGGTCTGCGGACACAGCTATTTATCGAGGATCCGAGATGGGGGGCAAACTTTCCTCGGGCGGGCACGCGGAAAACGCACCTGTTCAACTGAATATTCAGACTTAGCTCGTAGTTGATCGCCGAATAATTTCGCTGGCCCTCTTCCCGCAAGGGCCAGGGGGAAACCTCTAAAAAAGAACCCTGGGCCCGAGCCCTTTCCGGGAAAAAGGATCTTGGCACTGGGAGCGCGAAACCCGCGTAATGTACGAAAGATTATAGCCCTAAGAGCGTGCTTATAATTTACGACGGTTCGTGGCCCTGGGGGCACGAATCCAGTGTAATTCGCGAAAGGTCTTGGCACTGGGAGCGCGAAAGCTGTGTAATTTACAAGGGATCGTGGCCCTTGGAGCATGCATCCAGCGCAATTTACGAAAGGTCGTGGCCCTGAGAGCGTGGATCCGGATCCCTCGTAGTTGTTGGGACCGCCGCTCTGTGAGCGCGAACCCAATTTAATTTCAGGCCTCGGGAGTGCGAGCGCAGCGTAACTTCGCAGGATCGCGGCCCTGGGCGCGCGGGCGCAGGGCAATTCATGAGGATCCGCGGCTGCCGGCCCAGTGCCTGATTTGAGCGCTCGGCGCGCCCCTCGGCTCGTCCTTTGCCGCTGTCCCTGGCTTCACTCCTTGACGCTCTCCCTGCCCGGTCCGTGGCGCGCCCCCTGCCCACGCCCCCTGCCCACGCCCCCCTGGCGCGGCCCCGCAGTGCGCCCTTCGCACATTCCGTGGCGCGTGCGTGCGCCCCGTGTCGCCCCTGTCCCGCTTCGGAACCGAGTCGGGCCTCGAGCTCGAGCGGACTGAGCGTCCCGCATGCCTGGACTGCAGCCGTCTCTGGGCACGCTGTGCGCTCGGGCAGCTCGAGCCAAAGATCCAGACCAGGTCGGTCAGGATTCGGATGCCAAGGGCGACCTGATCCACAACGCTGTGATGCACAACGCAATTCTTCGTGGAATGACATACCTCATTTCCGCATGGCACATCACAACACAATTCTTGGCTCGGCACATCAGGATCGATACCTTCAGCATTGCAATTGCTTGTCGTCCAGTCAGGTGTCTTGCAAACATGCCTCGCGTTTCTAAATTCCTTTCCGGGTTCGTGGGTCGATCATGTTTCCCAGAGCGCTCCAGAAAGCTCATCGTCCCATCCTGATCAATCCTTCTATCTCCTCTTTCTCTTTCTCTGTCTCTCTCTCCCTCCTGATCTTCCTCCTCCACATCCACTTCCTGCGCCCCTTCCCCTTCAGTCTCCTCCCTCCCTCCGCCACCGCAACCCTCTTCCTTTGATTACGCATCCTCCTCCACCTCCGCTGCCCCGCGTCCTCTTCCTCCTCGTCGTCCTCCTCCTCCTCCTCCTTCTCCTCGAGACAGCGAGCAGAGCACGGGGGACGAAGGGGGGAGGGGAAGGAAGGAGACAGGATACCCACAGACAAAACGTATGCGCTCAGCCACGCCCTGGAACACGGCCACCAGACCGCGAGGCCAGCCTCGTGCCGCGAACGCTTGCGCGAGGCACGCTCTCGAAGCCCACGAACACCCACGTGCGCGCAAGCACTTCGCCGCTCCTCTGGAAAACGGAGAGCGACGCTCCTGTCGACAAATGCGGCCGCGACCGATCGACGATCCCGCCGCCCGCCCGCCGGAACCAAGAAAAGGAAGACGGGCCTCTCCGCTCAGGGCACGCCGACCCGGCTGGGGAGGCAAAGTTTGCCTTTTCGATTCCCCCCTTGCTCCTCCTCCTCCTCCTCCTCCTCCTCCTCCTCATCCTCCTCCTCCCTAAGGGGTTGGGGTCGCGGCATTCTTCGCTTAGCGTGCAGTCACAACTGACAGTAAGGATGCACAATAAGGATGCAAGGACCTTGGACGGCCATGCCAACAATTTTCAAATGTGGCGCGGCCAAAGACGGGCCGAAGGGAAAGGATGCAAGGGAAATCTTGGAGAGTCGCTCATCCTTACTATCAGTGTTGCCTGTATCGTTGCCCCCTGACCATCCCGCCCCCTCTTCTCCAATCGTTTCGGCTTGGGCCGGCGGCCTTCGAACTCGTACAGGTCCGCCTTGATGTCGTCGGTGCCCACCAGGACGACGACGTGGGAGGGCTGGCACCGCAGGACGCTGTCGAGGCGCCGGCACAGGTCCTGGCCTCCTCCTCCTCCTCCTCCTCCTCCTCCTCCTCCTCCTCCTCCTCCTCCTCCTCTCCTGGGCTCGGAAGCTGGGGAATCTGGCGGCGCGCCGCCCGTAGGGCCCCCGAGTGCCGAAGTCCGCGCAGGGGCCTCGCCCTGCGCCAGGGCGAGGGCCAGAGCGGACACCTGCTCGTGAGACGTGCCCTCGTACGCCGCTGGAGGGCCACCGCGTGGATTCGAAGGTGGCACTGGATGATGATCGTGCTAAGCCCCCGGCCGAGGCCACCCGCCGCCGGCGGCACTTCCTCCCTCGACTGGGAACGCCCGACTGGGGGCGCCGTGGAGCGAAAACGCTAAGCTGGGGAAGGTCAAAGCCACCGAGAGGCCCTGGCGACCCACGCAGCTGACGTGCCAGGCGCCCGCGTGCCAGCCCCTCGAGAGGCAGGCCGTCAGGGCCCTGTGTCGCCGAGGTGGCGTCGCGGACATCAGCCTCGAGAGCGGAGAACAAGTCCTCCTGGGTGGTCAGTCCACTAATTACCCCCCACACGCTCGACGCGAAGTCACCGAAGGTCTCCGCATTGAAGCCAAGAGTCGTCAGGGCCACGGCGGCATGGACACCTCCGCAGCTGAAGCGTGGTGCCGGCGCCGGCGCTGGCGGCGCTGGCGCTGTCACTCCAGGGTCGGCAGCCCGCCCTGGCCCTGGAGGTGGCGCGGGATCTGCAGGCGGCGCGGCCATCCCCGCCTCGGCGTGGACGCCCCCTGCGCCACTGAGATCGAGGCCCTCTGCGACGGCGACGACCAGGGGAGCTTGCATTCCAATGCGGAAGGTGTGAGCCAAAACTGAATGCCGTTTACTTGCGCGCTGTCCCCCCTGGAATTCCACCGGCGCGACTTGGGCCCAGAATGGCCACGAAAACTGCGCGCTCTGTCTTCAACGCCCGCATCGCCCGCCCTGATAGCACCCCCGTTCACAAATGAACTAAGCCCCACTCCTCCCCCTCCTCCCCGGACCTCGACTTTCGAGACATGGGCAGCCAGAGCGCTCGTCGCCCAGAAGGTCGTTTGTCAGTGTCGTTGCCGTTGGACGAAGAGAAAGTGCTCCGATGGTCGGACCCCACGTGAGAATCGTCCCAGCGAGTCTGGAAGTTCGCCGGCCCAACGGGCCAAGGGCGTGCTAAGATCTCCGGTAACTGGATGACAATATTCCAATTCGCGCGCGCGGGGCCGCCCTGGGGATCCCCAGACGAAAAATACCCCGGCAAGGTCCTGGCAAGGTCCCGGCAAGTCCTGGCAAGGTCCCGGCACGGTCCCGGCAAGGTCCGGGCAAGGTCCTGGGCAGGTCCCGGGCAGGTCCCGGCAGGCTCCCAAGAGCGCTTCAAGCGGCCTCTAAGAGAGCTCAACATGGTCCGGGACGGTCCAAGAGCGATCCAAGACACCAAGGATGGCCTCCAGACAGCCCAAAGCGCCTTCAAGACGCCCCAAGAGTTCTCCAAGAGACCCCCCAAGAGGGCCCACAGAGGCAACAAATTAGCAATTATCCGTAATTTTTTGGCGTTCTCGCCTGTTCGGCTTACCGGCGCTCCAAGACGGCCCAAGAGGATCGCCCCAACACTGCCCAAGAGGCCTCCAAGAGCGCCCAAAACGGCACCAGAGGGCCCCAAGACAGCCCCAGAGGCCTCCAAGATGGCCGAAGAGGCTTAAGACGGCTCCAAGAGCGGGAGAAGACGAGGGACCCGCGACTGGACATTTCGAGCTCTAGGCGCAGAAGAGGTCCTCTGGAGGCCCAGGGTCTTTGTTTAATTCGTAAGCTTGCCCCTGGGTGCCATGTTGGAGGAAGGCTGGCGGAATTCCATTCGATAACTAACGAGGTACAATCGCATTCTGCGTGGGAAAAATGCGTTTCGCGCGTCCCCACTCAAGGAAAGAAGACGCCCCGTGTCAGATCCGCGATAAAACATGATTGACCCACGAACCTGGAAAGCGATATGGAACCGTGAGGCATGGCAACGTTTTCAAGACACCTGGTTAGGCGACGGGCAATTACAATGCTTAGTGTATCGATCTTGGTGTACCGTGCCCAGGGCTGTGCTGTGCTGTGCCGTGCTGAACTGCGATGTGCTATTCCGCGATTGTGCTCTTTAACCTTGTCGATCGAGTCCTCCTTGGCATTCGAGTCCTGACCGAACTGATCTGGATCTTAAGCTCGAGCTGCCTGAGCACATAGTAGCCGCCCCAGAGCTAGTTGGAATGGAAACGTGGAGGACGTTCAATCAATTCGACCTCAAAACCCGACTCAGCTCCGAAAAGGAACGACACGACACGGGGCACAGGCTCACGGACGCACTACAGGATGTGTCAGGGGCACAATCGGGGATGCGCCAGGGGACGTGTCAGGCAGGAGACGCATCAAGGGACGTGCCCTGGACGTGTCAGGGACCTGCCACGGAACGTGCCAAAGAGCGTGCCATGGGGCGGCCAAAGGACGCCATGCAAATTGCAAGGGACCCGCCACGGGACGGGCTGAGGAAACGCCTGAGGACGAGTAAGGAAACGCGACAGACGACGAGCCGGGGAACGTGCCACGCCGAGTGGCGTGCTAAGGGACGTGCCAAGGCTCGTCACGACTGAACGTCGCAAAGGACGCGCCAGGGGGCGCGCCAGGGCGCCAGGGGGCGCCCCATGGACGGGCGGGGTTGGACTGCGACGCACTCTATTGCGACAAGCGTTTCGCTCGAGACATCCTCAACAAATCCTCATGTTAGACATCCGCCTGGGCGACCTGGACACGTGAAACCAAGCGTCTCGCTCGAGACGTTCTCAACACCGTCCCTTGCTGGACATCTGCCTGAGCGACCTGGACACTTGAAACCAAGCGTTTCGTTTAACACACCATCAACACATCCTCAAAGTAGACATCCGCCTGGGCGACCTGGACACGCGAAAACGAGCGGTTCGCTCGAGACATCCTCCGAACATCGTCATGTTAGACATCCGCCTGGGCAACCTGGGCACGTGAAAACGGGCAATTCGCTCAACACATTCTCAAACAAGCATCTCGCCCGACGAGGCCCCCGCTCGAGAGATCCCCCAACTCGGTAAAACCAGCATCTCGCCTGAGACATCCTCAGCACATGTACATAAAACAAACGTTTCGCTAGGGACATCCTCAATATGTTGATTCGCCAGCCCACTCTTTCCTCGTTACGTAGCACCCCGCAGATGCGGATAAGAGTGAGGTGGCGGTGGGGACGTCGGCAGTTTGCGAGACTCTGGAGAAGCCCGCCGCAGGCGCCACAGTTTCACAAATCATACAACGAGCCCGCCGCAGGCGCTGAATTTTTGTCAAACCAATGTGGGTACGTCGCGAGTGGGTCGCGGGTGGGTCGTTGTTGGGTCGCGGGTGTAGAGGGCAGAACATCCACCCCGTAATAATCACCCCGACAAGCGAAACCTCTTGGTAAACACACAAGGAATGAATCGAACAGGGCAGGGCTGTTTAGTCAACGCCCAGGGCCGTTTACTCCCTTGAGGGTGGGTCGCGGGGTGGGTCACGGATGGGTCACGGGGTGGGTCGCGGGTGGGTCACGGATGGGTCGCGGATGGGTCGGGTAATGGATCGCGGGTGTGTCGCGGGTGGGTCGCGGGTGGGTCGCGGGTTGGGTCGCGGGTGGGTCGCGGGGTGGGTCGCGGGGTGGGTCGCGGGGTGGGTCGCGGATGGGTCGCGGATGGGTCGCGGGTGGGGCGACGACAACAAACACCAACAACCACAACCACAACCACAACCACAACAACATCAACAACAACAATCATTTCAAGACTGTTCGCCCTTATGTGGTCGAGTGTCCAATGACGCGTATTTCCCAAACCCTCGATACCCGCCCTCTTCGTCTTCGATCGAACCCCGTTTGGGGTGTATACCTTTCTTCCCTGCAGGCCAGGCCCCGGCAAGCGGCGGGGCGGCCGCGGACTGTCGACCTGGCCAGCGGCAGCGCTGATCGGCGGAGCGGCCGCGGACCGTCGACCCGACCCGACCCCAAGAGGGACGGACAGGGGACCGACCATGACGACGATGACGACGACGACGACGACGACGACGTCGAAGACGACGGCGAGAGAGCGAGAGAGAACGACAGCAGGGCCACGAAGGGCACGAAGTAGGCCACGAAGGGCGACAGCGGGGACACGAAGGGAATGCGTATGGGGCCACGAAAGGTGCGAACGAGCGGGGGCCACGAAGTGCAGGTAATGCGGGGAAACAGAAGGCAACTATGGGGCCACTGAGGGTAGCAACTGGGACACGTAGGACAATGAGGGGGACACAAATGGCGACAGCGGGGCCACGAAGGGCATGCACATGGGGCCACAACGGGCGCGACTCCTGGGTGCCTGGGTGTCGGGAGCGCGGTGCTTGGGCAAATGGCAAGAAATTCCAACGCAAGGCTATTCTTCAGTAAGTTGCGAGCAAGTCTCCAGCGAGAGCGCGACTCCAGAGCTCCGGGAAAGCGATTCCTGAATAAATTGTAAGGATGTCCCAAGCGAGAGCGCGATTCCCGAATAAAATGCGAGGAAGTCTCGGGCGGGAGCGGGGGTCCTGCCTACATTGTAAGGAAATCTCAAGCGGGAGCCGTTGTTGTTGTAACCCGGGGGCCAAGGGCCCAGTTTGAGCAAGAAGACTTTCTCTGTCAAAAAACAGGGTGCGAGCGTCGAGGGGCACACTTTGATTGAGAAAAAACAATATGCACCGGTGGGGGGGGATCAACAATAATTATTCGTCCGAAGTGAGAATTCAAGAACACCAACACCAACACCACCACCACCAACAACAACAACAGCAACAACAACAACAACAATCAAGTTAAGACTGTTCGTTCCTATCTGCTCACGTGCCAATCAATATGTCTAGCCCAAGCCCTCGGCACCCGCCCTCGTCGTCTTCGATCGTACCCAGTATCCCCTTGGGGGTCTATCTTCCTTACCTGCCACTTGTATTTAGCGCAGCCCCTAAAACAAAGGAAGAAAGGATGGGTGGAAGGGGGGAAGAATG